TCAGCTTGTTACATCAGGAAGTGCTCTGTTCTCGCTTTCTCTTTCCAGATATTTGTAATATCTGACCTTGGAAAATAAGAAAATGCAACACAACCAAGGAAAAAGTCAGATAAAAGGCAGCTTATCCCACAGCAGAACTTCAGGTGTGCCAAATATCTTAGAAGAGTTCCTCCCTAATTTGGGAGCTGTAAAGAGAATAACCGAATAACGCAGTTGGGAGGGAACTTGGAGGTCTTCTAGTCCAACCCCCTGCTCAAGCAGGAAATCCTATACCATTTCACACAAATGGCTCTCCAATCTCTTCTTAAAAACCTCCAGTGTTGAAGTATCCACAACTTATGGAGGCAAGTCATTTCACTGATTTATTGTTCTCACTGTCGAGAAATTTCTCCTTAGTTCTAAGTTGCTTCTCTCCTTGGTTAGTTTCCATCTATTGCTTCTTGTCCTGCCTTCAGGTGCTTTAGAGAATAGGTTGACCCCACCTTTTCGTTGTTCAAGATTGATCCCCCCCTCTTCTTGAAATGCTGAGGAGACAGGATTGTGAGAGGGAGACAACACAGTGCAACAGATGTTATGGAATGGCCCTACCATAAGTGCCATGATAGGTGCAACCAGCAGAAGCATCTAAGCTAAGCTAAAACTGAAGATAACCGCATTGTGAATGAGATACTCTATCACATAGTTTTCTCTAGAGATGCTAAGGGTGAATCTTGGATCTTTTCTAGATGCAAAATTGAGACTCAGAATTGGTCCTTCTGTTTAGGCCAAAAAGGTTGGGCAGTTTAACAGACTTGGCCACTATTTGTATTCATCATGGTTATACAATACAACACAATAGCAGAGTTGGAAGGGGCCTTGTAGGTCTTCTAGTCCAACCCCCTGCCTAGGCAGGAAACTCTATACCGTTTCAGACAGATGGCTATCCAACATCGTCTTAAAGCTTCCAGTGTTGAGGCATTCACAACTTCTGGAGGCAAACTGTTCCACTGATTAATTGTTCCAACTGTCAGGAAATTTATCCTCAGTTCTAAGTTGCTTCTCTCCTGGATTAATTTCCACCCATTGCTTCTTGTTCTGTTCTCAGGTGCCTTGGAGAATAGTTTGACTCCCTCTTCTTTGTGGCAGCCCCTGAGATATTGGAAGACTGCTATCATGTCTCCCCTGCTCCTTCTTTTCATTAAACTAGACATACCCAGTTCCTGCAACTGTTCTTTATATATTTCAGCCTCCAGTCCCCTAATCATCTTGTTTGTTCTTCTCTGCACTCTTTCTAGAGTCTCAACATCTTTTTTACATTGTTAACATATACATTTTTTTACATTTAGGTTTTTTAAAG